CCTCCGCGGGGCCAGGGACGGCGGCGACGGCGGGCGCTGCTCCGGGGTGCCCGGGCGGCGTAGCAGAGGCGGGCGGAGGAGCAGCGGAGGCGGCAGCAGCGGCGGGCAGGGCGCGCAGCGTGTCGGGCAGGAGGCTCTCCAGGCTCTCGTTGGCCTGCTGGCGGCGCAGCGCCACCTGGGCGGCCATGACGCGCTGCCGCTCGATGATGAGGATGCACTTCTCGCAGGTGCAGTCCTTGAAGCGGCAATAACGCTTGTGGCCCTTCAGCCAGGAGAGAACGCCGTGGTTGCGGCAGCGCGCGCACTTGGGCGTCCGCTGCAGGGGCGCCCGGGCCGGCTGAGCCACAGGGCCGCCCATGTAAAGGTACGGGGAGCCGTAGCCGTTCATGGCGCCCGCGGGGGCCACCTCAGCCCTCCACCGCAGCCGCTAAGCCCGCCTCATTCGCGCCGGGGCCATGGTCGGCCAAAGGCGGCGGCGGCGACGCTTCCCTCGGGTCTGTTGGCGCCGAACCAGACGCTGAACTCGCCTCACAGCTCAAGTGCAAGTTGGGTTGGCGGCTCGCTCGCCCACCAGCCTTCCCCGCCCCTCGGACCAGGCTCCTCCTCCCCGCCGAAGCCGCGGCGCTTCTGTCTTTCCCCTGGCTGCGCCAAATTCCTCGCCCCGCCCTCCCCCCTCAGCCCCCCCCACTTTTCTGGAGACAGGTGGACTTGCCCACTGCGCCGCTTTCCTCGCTGAGGCCGTTTCTTCCGCGAAAGGGGGGGGGGAGAGCGAGGCTCCCAACGCGTGCGCGCCTGTAGGTGAAAGCCACGGACGTTGCACGTTGCTGGCGTTGTCCCTTCTGGATGGGGACGTAAGGCACTCGATGCTCCTGCTAGGCTTTGGGGCCTGCAAAGCAACCGGGACCCCGCTTTCTGCAGAAAAGGGGCGGAGCTATTGCTGAAGGTCCTGTATCCCAGCCCTCGAAAACTTTCAAGCGCCGGGATTGGCTCAAAGGACCCTGCCAGGCGTTAACTCTTTCCCATCCGGCGCGATTTCTAACCAATAATCCGCTTTAAATCGCTCCCTTAGGGTGAATTTATAAGCACCGTGTTAGAGGATGCAGAACGGGAGATCAAGGTGTATTTCCCCCCCCCCAAAAAAAAACCTTCCCTCCCCCACAATACATAAGCAGAAATCTGTTCCAGAAATACATGCATACATACATATTTACATCCCAATGAGTGTGTGTGTGTGTGTATTCATTCATTGGGATGTAAATATCTGCTAATAGATTTCTCAAAGGAGGGGAGAGTTAGAGCTTTGCAAAGTATCAGTACAAGGGGCACGATGCGGGCATCCAATAGAAAAAATAATTTTGGCTTTAGATTTTAAAAACCTTTTAGAAAGATTTTGCAGTATAATAAGTTGTTATTAATAAGCCAATTCGAACCGTGGTTCTAATTCTGATCAACCGCGCGCTAATGCAGAACATTTTGCTTCATTCAGGGTGAAACCATCAGACTTGGTAATAAAAGAAATGAAACCAAATATTTCTGCCTCTTTTGTATTGTTTATCCGTTGGATTTTACTTTGGGATTTGCTGCGAGCCTCTGGAATTCCTCCCAGCTCTCCCCAGGCTAAATATGGACGGTTAGGGAAGGGAACATACTGTTTAATGTTCCACAGCTCTTGTTAAACTCACCTGAGGGGAAGGATTTAAATACAGGGGAAGGAGATAAAAAGAGGATTGGGAATCGGTCTTGGAAGAGAAATGGACAGAAATTTAAGAAGGCGAAGATTTTTTTTTCCGAACGAAAGACGCTCTCAATAATTCGTAAGGTGGAAAATATGAACATTTGGAAGCACAGTTTGTAGAAATGATTCTAATGAAACGAGTCACTTTTTTAAAAAAGAGAAGCGTGAGTTGCTTATTTTACAAATTAACGTTTAACCTTTAAGAAAATGCAACAAAGCGAGCCATTGAACCCCGATGGTACTAAATGATTATACACCGATCAACCAGAGGATCAACTCTGTGTTGAGCGAGAAAGCAACCCGGGGGGAGTGGGGGCCGGAGGTCAGGCAGGCGGGCAAGCCTCTTTTGGCCCTGGCAGGACCCAGGTTCAAGCGGCTCTTCCAGGCAAACGCAGCCCCGCTTCCCGAAAGGAGCCGAGCCAAGGGAAGCCGCGACGTCGGCTGGCCGGGCCTTCCCCTGCAGTCTCTCTTCTTAAGGAAGCGGGGATGGAGGCTGGCTTCTCCCAGCGCAAGCCGGGCCGCAGAGCCGCCTTCTCGCCTCTTTTACTGAGAATCGGAGCTCTGCCGCCTACGCCCCCCATCCCCCCCCCGCATTTGACAACATCTCCCCGCAGGTCTAGGTCGGCCTTCCTGTGAGCGCCACGTCCCCTGCCTAAGAGCCTATTGTAACTCAACACCTGACGAGAACCGGTCCCATCGCTCGGGGCAGAAAAGGTTTAGTCAAGCACATAATGGGATCCCAGCAGAAGGCTTTTCAGAAGCGGGGCCCAGGGTAAACTTCGCCACATGAACTCCGTTTCCAGGGCTGTTAATCTTTTAATTGGGAAAGGAAAAGCGGCGTAATAAGAGAGGAGGCAATTTCAAGGTGACTCGAACGTGGTCGCCGTTTGAGCCCCGGAGAATAGCTTGGAAAATGGGATGAATGGGACAAACATATGGTCCCAATCAGGTCGAGCGGCGGGGCGGGGCCCTCTGCCTTTGGGGGCGAGGGGAAACGGGGGTGGAGGGAGACCCCAGCTCGTTTTCTACGAAAGCCAGCCTCCCAGGCAAGAACTGCAGGGGCAGCCGAAATCCGCCGAAGCTGCATTGACAGGAAGGGGTAATGGAGTCCTTGAAGCTGGGCCCTAGAATCATCAAACCAGCGTCCCTTCATCTGGGTTTGATTCACAGAAAGTGGGTAGGTGGGGTGGAGAACTTACATAAAATAGGAAGGCAAACCTGGCATTCTGAAAAAGAAAAGCGAAATAGGACCCAGCGTGATGGGTACTTGGGTAGGAGCTCACCAGAGTGGCTCAGGATTCTAAAGTAGGAAGTAAAAACCATCCCAGAAGAACCGGAGGGCAAACTATGTCGAGAATAGGCGGAGAAATATGTATTGTCATGTTATGAAAGGTGTGCAGGTGTTCAGGTCTGTCAATTCTATTCCAGTGAATATTCCATATGTTAATATATTGAAATGCTGAAAGAAGAGTGGGGAGAAGAAGGGCTTAGGCAAAACTTCATGTCTGGGGATCCCACTCAGCCAGAGGTTTCAAAAATTAGCAAGGCTGCTTCCTTGTCCGCCAAAGTTGCTGAATTAACCGGGCAGTCTGATCCAAAGACAGGTACATCAAGGACCATCCCATCCAGAATGCAAAAGCACCGTCCAGTCACCCCACCCATTGTAATTTGTTGTAGGCCGCCTGAGAATTCTGGCTGGACAGGCGGATTCATTTCGAATGAATGAATGAATCGAACGAACTATCGTCAGCTCTGGATTAACTATCGTCGCTCCTTAATTAAAGCTCCATCGGAAACGATCGAGGAAATGAAAAAGGTTTCCAGATCAGCAAAAGAGTAGAAATGATTTTTTAAAGAACAGGCGCCCCAGCGCTACCCTCTGAGCCTCAAAAATACCTCGGAGCAAAGTGGCAGGTGGGGCCCTGAAATTAAGACCAGTGGGATCGATCCAACTGTTCCTGGCTCGCTAAAAACAGTGGGGCTCAAAACGAACAAAGGTCGCCCTTAAGTAGAAGTGGCGGCTGTCCTTCGGCTAATACTTTACTGACCCGATGGGGGGGGGGGACGGGACACCTGTGCCTTCGAAATGCCCGAGAACGAAGGAAAATAGCCATTCTGACTTGTTTAAAAGAAAATAAAACCCGCTTTTCTCCTTCCTCCATCACCAAACTTATTTGAAATCTGTTTTCACCCCAAAACTTGCACAGTACCGCAGGTCAAACACTTCTCCTATTTCCCTCCCCCTCTCAAAAAACAAGGCAAAAGTAGAGAAAATCCGAAGTAGTAAAAATGAAGTATAGTCCCACAGTATTTAATGGTGCTTTAAACGGACCTCAACACCTCTGAGTTTGAGAGCAAAACATTGGAATCTGAGGATGTCAGAATATTTTGAACGAAAGAGACCCGCGGGAACTTAGGAAGAAAACCTAACGAGATCTCCTAAGAAACGGCTTCAGAAGAACGGCGCGCTAAATATTAGGTGGACTGGAAAAACCAATGCTAGAAGCTGCCGCCGAACACTTAAAGGGTCTGGTTTATTTTTCTATTGGTTTGAAATTGGTTTTATTCGTTTGGTAAGGACATAGAATTACGGGGAAAATATCTTTTTAAAAAATGGATCACTGGTTCTGAAAAAGGCTCAACCGGGAAGGTGACATCCTTCTGATAAAACCTGAAGACGAAGCCAAGGCAGGTAAGGCTTTCTTCCAGCGGCAACTTCCTATCTAGTTCGGGAAGAGAGAAAAAAATTAGACTTCAAACATTCAGCAGGAGCTCCGACCATTCCCCGGGGAGAGGCGACGGGATCAGAAGCCCCCAGCCCCACCCGCGCCCTCTCAAGGAGCCCTTACATTTCAAGGTAAAGGATTTTGCTGGCCGCTGCCGCCTTGTTCGGCTCCCCTCCGCCCTCCCTCCCACCCACCCCAGCAGAGGTGACACAATGGGGCGAAAGGACGAAGCCCAGCTGTACGAAAAACAGCCGTGGAAATCTCGAGAAAATGAATAGAATTAATAAAGGTCACTGATCACTGGCCATTCATAAATATTTGGTGACACTTTTCTTGTTCAGGGTCCACCTCTCCGCCCCTTTCGTGAGGGGGCGGGGCGGAGACTCGGCAGGCTCCCGAGCCGCAAGGCGGGTCGCCCTTCGGGTCTGCAAAGCAAAGGCGGGTGGTCCTTTTCCAAAACCACCGCGCGCGATCGCAGATTCTTTCTTAAGCAGGGCGGCGTTGGCGATGGCCGAAAGAGGGCAATGCAAAAATCTCTGGATCGGCCGTCCTCCTATCTCGGGGCGGGGGGGGGGGAATCTCTGAATAAACAGGGCAAAGACTGACAAGGCCTCGGTTCCAGAGAGGCTCCTTGGGGTAGATCGCGAGAACCGATCTTAAGGGCTTCCGTTCTCCAGAACGCTCCACGGCAGCCCGTAAGATTTGGGACCCAGGGAGCGCACTAAGGATTTTCAACCGGCC